TTGGCTTTTCTCATTCTAAACAAATATTCACTTTCGTGTCCAATTTAGTGTTCATAATTAGATATTCTTTTCCTTAAAGAGGGTCCTCTGAGGCTGGGTGCAGTGGCTCACATCTGTAATCCCAGCACTTTGGGAGGCAGAGGCAGGTGGATTCACTTGAGGTCAGGAGTTCAAGACCAGCCTAGCAAACAGGGTGAAACCCCGTCTCAACTAAAAATACAAAAACTAGCCAGGGGCGGTGGCACATACCTTTAATCCCAGCTACTTGGGAGGCTGAGGCAGGAAAATGGCTTGAACCTGGGAGGTGGAGTTTGCAATGAGCCAAGATTTTGCCATTCCACTCCAGCCTGGGTGAAGCGAGACTGTTTCAAAACAACAACAACAAAAAGACAAAACAGAGGATCCTCTGAGTAGTAAAAGCATCATACTCCCTGACACTACATAAAGTATATTAAAAAATTAGGGTCATTCTCTATACACCCATGGTATAAGAATTAAAGGAACCTAGCTAGTACTTGCCATTTCGTGTGTCTTGCTTGTATACTGGCTTAAGTATGGTCAGGTTACTTACCCTGCAATCTAAATATGTCCCAGTGATCTGGGTGAGTGAACTACTCAATTATGTATTAGATGCCTAGACTTTCAGAACACCAAATACATTTATATTACTTCTGTGTATCCTCCTGGTTTCTTAAAGCCATAATTTTAAAATTAGGATTTCATCAAGTATCAAAATTTTAGTTTATTGCTAAACAACTTTATAGAAAACCATAAACTTACACTTCCACCAGCACTATACAAAAGGTCTCACTGAATAATGGCTGAATTTTAAAAGCTTTTGCCAACTTGACAGGCATTCTATTTAAATTTGCTTTTTAAAGCTTAACAGTTATTCACTTTTGTTGCCTATTTACTTTAGGGCATTTTCCTCCCCAAACTGAGCTCTATTAAATACATTATATACTGGTTGTAAATACTAGTACATATTGAAATTTTCAGAATTATGGTACGATTTGGTACGATTTTTTTTTTTTTTTTTTAGTTTATTCTTGCCCTTATTTGGGGGCCTGTCATGCACTTCAATTATGGTATATCCCTTACTGTTGGGAAGAAACCCATTGGATGACACATCAGCACATTGTGTGACATTCCTTACCTAACCAATCTTATCCAAATGTACATTTTAGTTGTTTTCAGTTCCTTAAAATTCTGCAAGAATCAACCTTGTACACAGAGCCAGTACAGTTATATAGTTTAGGAGGAAGACTTTTAAGCCACAAACCTCCATATTCAAGAATCTCAGCTTTACAAATAATCAGCTGTGTTATCCTGGGCAATTTACTTAAGTGCTTCAGTTTTCTCATCTATAAAATTGTAAAGTGGTGCTAACAGTATCTACCCTTGTGGTCATTACCAGAATTGATCCAATACTTGCAAACTGACTGTAACAGGGCTTGGCGCCAGCACTACTTAACCTGTGCCTTCTCAAGTGCATTAATTTTAGTTATTAGCAAATCTCTAAAATAAAACTGTTTCTCCTTTATCTTATCAAACTAGTATTTCCTAGTATGGTAGACTGCTAGTTCTCACCCTAAGTCTTTTCTGTTTCTACCGTTAAGTTTTTTCTTGAGCCCGTGACCACACAGCTATGGATGACAAACTGGCTATCTTTCGCCGCAGCTAAACATAGCCTCAACACACAACTGACCAATGGGATATTAGTAGTTAATAAAACGTTTACTTCATAAATTAGCTTCAGTATCTCAGCATGTTTCCCAGACACCCTTTCTATTTCCTCAACTGGGGGATGAGCACCAGAGCAAGCAACTTTGGATGTAGAAATGGAAGCTACCTTTTGAGTATGGCAGAATGCCTGCTTCTGGACAGCTACCCAAAAGAAAAGTACCTATCTTTTAGGGGTCCTTGTTTGCAGCACTTAATAATCTGCAGCCTTATGTGCCTAGTAAATGAGTACCAGAGACATAAAACATATGCTACAATAAGGCCTGCCGGGGGGGCATCAATATCTAGTTTTGGTGAGGAAGGAGACCCCTTCCTCTTGAGCTTCTAAAACCACTTCCCCTGAGACTTCTAAATTGCATTTCAAAATGAGAAGTAAAAGTTGAAAATAGAAGGCACAAGGTCAGTGGAGGAGACAAAACCAGGGCCACCTAGCTGGACCTGAAGGTTACAGATCAACCCCCAAAACCTAGTTCCTATCCTATAGATCACAGGCATGGTATGGAGGAATCGTCCCTGGAAGGCAATGTTCTTGCTTAATCACGATTAGACCTCCACCTAAGTCAAATATCTCTCGCTTACCTCATCAATCACGACTCACAGGTACCCTCTAAGACTGTGAGCCTTTAAAAGAGGCCAGGATTTTCTAGTCAAGGAGCTTGGTTCTTGAGATGTGAGTATGCCAAGAATGCCCCCACCCACCCCGAATAAAAAGTCACTTCCTTCACAAACCTGGTGTCCGAGAGATTTTGTCTGTGCAATGTCCTGCTACATTACTTGGTTCCCTGACCAAGCTGGGGACAACCTCTTAGGCAGTTTGCCTTGCTGTGCAGAGAATCCCAGCGGAGGACTCCAGACCGCTTGGGCAATGCAGGTCCTAAGTGCTCCCAGATAGACATTTGCCCCAGTGGACCGCTTTGCCAGAGTGGGGCAAGGTAGGCCCCAAGCAGTGGATCCATGCAGAGGCTGAACACCGGGAAGGAACCAGCACGGGCAGTCTAGACGACAGAAACAAGGTACGACTGGTCCTGGGAAACTTGCCCACCTCCTTTAGGTGGAAGCCTGGCCTCATCACCCATGTGTGCTGAATTTGGCACTCCTGAACACAGCTCGCTCTGTAACTAACCATGGAAGTCTTGCTTTTGGTTTCAATTTAGGTGGAGGTGTATGACTGTGTAAGGGGCCCAGTTGGATCCTGAACATGAAAATGAGAATGAGAGGGGGAACTCTCAATAATGTTATAGGTGAGGTTCTCAAAGAGGGGGTAAGGAAGGAGACTCCTTCCTCTTAAGCTTCTAAGACCACTTCCCCGAACCTTCTACATTGCATTTCGAAAGAAGTATAAAAGTTGAAAATAGAAGGCACAAGGTCACTGGAGGAGACAAAACCGGTGCCACTAGCTGGACCTGGAGGTTACAGATCAAACCCCGGACCCTAGTTCCCATCCTAGCTATAGATCACAGGAATGGTGTGGAGGAATCTTCCCCGGAAGGCAATGTTCTTGCTTAATCACGATGAGACCTCCACCTAAGTCACGTACCTCTCCCTTACCTCATCAATCACAACCCTCTCACATGTACCCTCTAAGACTGTGAGCCTCTAAAAGAGGCCAGGATTTTCTAGTCAGGGAGCTTGGCTCTTCAGACGTGAGTATGCCAAGACTCCCGGATGAATAAAAAGCCACTTCCTTTACAAACCTGATGTCCGAGAGGTTTTGTCTGAGGTGTCCTGCTATATTTGTTTTTGAGCCAGTTTCACAATCTCAGCTCACTGCAACCTCTGCCTTCTGGGTTCAAGTGATTCTCCTGCCTCAGCCACCTGAGTAGCTGAGATTATATGTGTGCACCACCATGCCTGGCTAATTTTTGTATTTTTAGTAGAGGTGGAGTTTTGCCATGTTGGCCAGGCTGGTCTTGAACTCCTGACCTTGTATGATCTGCCCACCTCAAGCCTCCCAAAGTGCTGGGATTACAGGCATGAGACACCATATCTGCCCAATATCTATTTTAAAACAGTATTTTTAACATAGCTAGAAATATAACTACATTCTTAAGCAGAAAAAACAACTTCCTTCTGATAGCATCATTAGTACAAGAAAACATTTCTAGTTTAAAATATGGAGTTGAAACTTAATAATGTATTTTATATTGTGGAACTTAAAAATCTAAAAGCACAGGACACGTTTTCAGAAGAGGAATTTTACTTTTACCCACTTATGGTAATATTTGCAATATCAGGACATAATTAGGTTAAATAAATCAAATAAGGAATCCAGAAAAAACTGTTCTTGAGTTAAGCCAAGTACACACTGGCAATTCTGAGAAAGAACACACATTAACAAAAAGAACACGCTAGCTCAAATGCAAGTTTATATGGTGAGTGTTTTTAAAGGATTTTAAAAGCATGCTCCATCAGCATAATTAGCCTTTTCTCATTTACGTAACAAATGCATTTCTGTCTGCTTGTGTACAGCAAAGGGTTAGAACCTGAATAAACTTATTTATGATTTCAGAAATGTGCTATTTTAGAAATGTACTCCATAGAATTTACTTCACTGCTCCTACCACTGATTCTTCAAATAAGCAAAGTTCGGAAGTTCTTATCCCTTGAAAATGTTTTTAAACACTAGCACTTTAAGTTGAAACATTGGTAGAAACGTAGCAATGTCAGGTACAATGCCTATACTTAGTCTTATTTAAAATAAGAATTGAATGCACAACAGAAAATTTCTCATTTTCTTTATCATTGGAGGGAAGGGAAAGCAAGCAAGCAGAGGTTGGGGTATTATTACACTATTTAAGGAAGAGCTGAATACAAAGACAATGAGTCTTTTATAGTCTCAACAATTCCACAATGAGTAACTGTGGATTATGTCATGTATAATTTACATTGGATCAAAAAAATGGGTTCCCCTCTGTGTATATCAATTTAATTCAAATCTCATCTTCAAAATACAAAGATGAATACTACAAGATAAACTCTAACTGCGATAGGTATTTTCTAAGTAGAAGACCAAACACCAAAGGGAATCCCTCTTTCCAATGTCTTTTGATATGACAAGATTTTGCCAGAGTGGAACTTAAATAAGCATTCTCATGGCCAAGTAAGAAACTACAGTTGTTGTGGGTATTACCCTACAATTACCATATGTATTACATATTAAATTAAACTCAGCATTAAATATGCTTGCATAATTATGCTGTTAATGATGATAGCAGTGATGATACTGGTGGAAAAAGCCTGTCTTTAGCCCAAGAAAAGTCAGGGAGAAAAACCTTAACAAGCAGAAAGCAGACACAGAGTTGGGCATTTTTTGACTAGGAAAGAGAATTTTAAGCATAGAAATATAAAAAGAAAAGTACTCCCTTATTTCCCCTATGTGGAAATAATATGATACATTTATTAGATACACTAGGACAAGAACAGAACTAAGTACTCCAACTCTACTGCAGCATTACAAAAAATCATCCCTTCACCACAGTGTAAGATTTAAGGACAACCTGCCCAAGGATGCACATGATATAAAACACAGCAAGATTGCTGCTGACCTGTCAAGTACTTCCAGTCTCTACCCAGGTCCTACTGAAATACTGGTGGTCCCAATTAGTTTTATTGAAATAAATCTTTAAAGAAAAAGATAAAGCATTTAAAAAGACAAATCAAAATGCTTCAGGAACCACATATGCAACAAACTTTATCCTCAAATGAGTTATGTCTGCCTCACACTAATAAACTTTTATTTCACTCAAATTAGAGCAAAAATCTTCTATACATTCAGTATCTTCCCTGCCCAATAATTCAAAGAAAAAAACATCCAAAGTGATTAATAAAGAAAAATATAAGAATTAACAGACTCTTTAAATTTGTTTTAAATATTTTTAAAGTTAAAAAGTGTTTAAAGTTTGTAATTCCTAGTAGGAAAACATTATCTGAATGAATACCCTAATGGCAAACCACTGTAAAATGCTTCAGCTGCATTTGGGGGAGAGGAGTAGGGATTATCTTCAAAGCACCCCAGCTCTCTTGATGAGAAGGTCAGAGGTACACTGGTTTGTATTATTGCGACATCCATAAGGTGATCTAGGTTGCTTTTCCTTCAGCAAAGGCTTTATTTATCAGAAGGGCATTATGCTTGACCTCCAAATTTGGCTGACAATTTGCTGATAAGATTCATAACCTTTGGGTTGCTCTGGTATTTTGACATATTTGCTGGGTTCTGAGCCACATCCTGGAAGGCCACCATAACTTCTGGATCCTGAAAAGAAAGGGTTTGTTAGTATTTAAAAAGTGTCCTACTAGGTCAGAAAGTTTATTATCCTAAAGTCCGTCTATTATTTAAACCTAAAAACGGTTAGTATTTTAAAAAGCGTCCTACTGGGTCAGTTAAGTTTATTATCCTAAATTCCATCTATTATTTAGACCTATAATTGGGTCATGGGTTAAATGGGGTTTAGAAAAGTCCCTGAAGTCACAAAAGCAAGCTGAATTATGTCATTTGAACTACATGATGAAAAAAAGTACATACAATTTTGATACAAAGAAAAGAACTGGATTTAATTGCCAACTATTACTAAGTATTTCCCAGTTTTCAAAATTTAAGTTACTCACTCTGCATAAAGAAAGCAAATGTCACATATGCATAATTAGCTATTTGCTAACTGTGATAAATAAAAAATAGCTACAAGAATAACCTTTGTCTCCACACAGAATTATCAAAGAACTGCCTTAATGATACAAAGTCCAAAGATTTTCTTCCAAGTCTTACCTGCATGGCTGCAAGAACCTCCGGATCACTAAGAATTTCATTGAGTCCTGGCATTCCGGCCATTCCAGGCATGCCCCCTCCCATTCCAGGCATTCCTCCGGGAAAACCACCAGGCATTCCCCCAGGAAAGCCACCTGCAATAAAAAATAAAAATAAAATAAAAGAAATAAAAAACGAAAGAACTGTGTAGCACTAATCATACTCACAAATATTCTGACACAGTATTTCATCCACAAAAAGTGCGAGTTCAAATAAGGGTTCCACTAAGCACAAAGTAGTCTGAAAATTCTAATCAGACTGCAACAAGAAACAAGTTATAGCTTCTAATTATCTCTTAAAAAACAAGGCTATAAATCAGACTTTGCTACCTCCTGGATTAACTTTTTTCTACTAATAATACTGTTTTTGTTTGTTTTGCAACAGAGTCTTGCTCTGTCGCCCAGGCTAGATTGCAGTGGTGCATCTCGGAAAACTACAACCTCTGATTCCCAGGTTTAAGCAATTCTCCTGCCTTAGCCTCTCAAGTAGCAGGGACTACAGGCATGCACCACCACACCTAATTTTTGTATTTTTGGTAGAGATAGGGTTTCACCATGTTGGCCAGGCTGGTCTCGAACCCCTGACCCCAGGTGATCTGCCCGCCTCAACCTCCCAAAGTGCTGGGATTACAGGTGTAAGCCACTGTACCTGACAACTTTTTTCTAGTAATAATGCTGTTAAAAAAGACTAATCTCACTTTAAAAACAGAGTCATCTAACATTCCCTAAGATTACAAAGTTAGTCATTTTGATTATCTTTCAACTCTCCATTCTTTTTTTTTTTTTTTTGAGATGGAGTTTTCGCTCTTGTTATCCAGGCTGGAGTGCAATGGCGCGATCTCGGCTCACCGCAACCTCCGCCTCCTGGGTTCAGGCAATTCTCCTGCCTCAGCCTCCTGAGTAGCTGGGATTACAGGCACGCACCACCATGCCCAGCTAATTTTTTGTATTTTTAGTAGAGACGGGGTTTCACCATGTTGGCCAGGATGGTCTCGATCTCTTGACCTCGTGATCCACCCGCCTCGGCCTCCCAAAGTGCTGGGATTACAGGCTTGAGCCACCGCGCCCAGCAACTCTCCATTCTTGAATACTTGTCTGTTTCAATTTAAAATTAATTCATAGGAATTTAGGTTTTTGTTTCAAATATACTCATCTTGTATAGTTCTTCCTTTGGTTAACAACTACTTAAACTGCTTGCTTATATGTTGCTTTTTCATTTCCACCTCAAATAAAATAAAATAAAAATAAAGTTACATAAATAAAAATTATCTCAAGGTAAAACCAGAAACCTGCATTTTTTTCTTTTCTTTCTTTTTTTTTGAGACGGAGTTTCGCTCTTGTTACCCAGGCTGGAGTGCAATGGCACAATCTCGGCTCACCGCAACCTCCGCCTCCTGGGTTCAAGCAATTCTCCTGCCTCAGCCTCATGAGTAGCTGGGATTACATGCGCGTGCCACCATGCCCAGCTAATTTTTGTTTTTATAGTAGAGACGGGGTTTCACCATGTTGACCAGGATGGTCTCGATCTCTTGACCTTGTGATCCACCCGCCTCGGCCTCCCAAAGTGCTAGGATTACAGGCGTGAGCCACCCCGCCCGGCCAAGAAACCTGCATTGTTAACAAGAAGTCCTGGTGCTTCTTTACAGAGAATAATGCTCTAGCAAAAAGGATTTGATTCTCCCAGTATTATCTGTTAGATTATAAACCCAAATAATCTATTCTGTTCTTCAGTATCATAAACCTGTATGTCTACTAGAGATATTCTAAAATCACTATTAATAATATAGGGAAAGAGGCCAGGCGCGGTGGCTCACGCCTGTAATCCCAGAACTTTGAGAGGCTGAGACAGGCGATCACAAGGTCAAGACATTGAGACCCTCTTGGTCAACATGGTGAAACCCCATCTCTACTAAAAATAGAAAAATTAGCTGGGCGTGGTGGCGTGTGCCTGTATAGTCCCAGCTACCCGGGAGGCTGAGGCAGGAGAATTGCTTGAACCCTGGAGGCAGAGGTTGCGGTGAGCAGAGATCACGACATTGCACTCCAGCCTGGGGAACAAGAGCGAAACTGTTTCAAAATAATAATAATACTAGTAATAACATAGGGAAAGAGATAGCATTAATATATTCTACAAAGGGTCACTATTAAAGTAAAGCCATAATAAAGGAGGAAACACATAATAAAGTTATTTCTACCTGCTTTAACAGTAATTAAAACACAACCATTAATAACTAACAATCACAGAGGAAGAAATCTAAGAGGACCATAAAACAACTTCTGGCTTCTTTTGCTGCTCCTACTTAATGCTTTGAAAAATTAGTGCCTACTCATAACAAATTACTGACCCAAGGCTTGTCAAATCTAAATAAAATGTACGTAATGGAAAAGTATCTCTAGTACTAGTACAACATTAGCAGTCATTTTCTAAAACAGAGATTATCTAACAATAAGATTATTTATATTTTAAACAGGAAGTAAACTATGAGCTAAGTTTAATTTCTTTTTCTTGAAACAGGAGGTCATCCTCAATATTTGTTCTAGGTGTGTTTTCAGTTGCTGTGCACATACTCTTTCAGAATAAAGAACAGATTTTCTAGGCTCATATCATGTAACTAAGTTCTAACCAGTGACATATAAACAAACATGGCCTCTAAAAACTTTCCTTAAAATAAAGTTAGTTACCATTAAACAAATGGAGATAGCTGTTTAAAAAATAAAAACTTAAGTCTCATCCTGGTCTTGATATAAATTCCACATTGCTGTAATCAGAAAGTACTCAATAAATCTGCATGTCTCTTTCGTCTCTTCTATCTGCGTATTTGTCCTGTCCTCACTAGCAATATCTGGCCATATCTGAAAGAGTAATCTGCTACTTTTATACTGGACTCAAAACATTTTTATGCTCAGTAACTCCATCATTTCTTTAACCTATAGTATCTTCATGAGTATCACTGTATAAGAGAACAAAATTAGAATATCACTTTATAATAAACATTATTTAAGTATTACATTAAAATATTACTGTATAACAGAACAAAACAGTTTTAACTTTTCAAAAAATATACCTGGAAAAGAGCCATACTGAGCTCCTGACTGTCGTCTGGCTTCTTCCTCCTTTAATACAAAAAGAAATAGATAATAGAAGAAATAAGTGCTGTCCATGCAAAACCATAAAAAAACTGTAAAATAATGTAGTAGATGGCAATACTGAACTAAAGTATATACTCTATGTCGCCTTCAAAAATTTTTTCAAATGGATTCTCAGTGAACATTATTCTTGGTAATAATTTCAAGTAAAGTGTTTTACTTCTACTCTGGAAACAAACAAACCTGGAAAACAATTTACAGTGCTAATATGAAAACTATAAATTCATCCTTTTTTTTTTGAGACAGTTTCATTCTTGTTGCCCAGGCTGGAGTGAAACAGTGTGATCTCAGCCCACCACAATCTCTGCCTTCTGGGTTCAAGTGATTCTCCTGCCTCAGCCACCTGAGTAGCTGAGATTATAGGCATGCAACACCATGCCTGGCTAATTTTGTATTTTTAGTAGAGATGGGGTTTCTCATGGTGGTCAGGCTGGTCTTGAACTCCCGACCTCAGGTGATCTGCCCACCTCAGCCTCCCAAAGTGCTGGGATTACAAGCATAAGCCACCAAGCCCAGCCTTTCATCCTTGTTTTAAAATGCCTACATGGAAGGACAAGACTAGATTACGAAGACAGCCATGACTTTTTTTTTTTTTTTTTTTTTTGAGACGGAGTTTCGCTCTTGTTACCCAGGCTGGAGTGCAATGGCGCGATCTCGGCTCACCGCAACCTCCGCCTCCTGAGTTCAGGCAATTCTCCTGCCTCAGCCTCCTGAGTAGCTGGGATTACAGGCACGCGCCACCATGCCCAGCTAATTTTTTTTTGTATTTTTAGTAGAGACGGGGTTTCACCGTGTTGGTTTCACCGTGTTGACCAGGATGGTCTCGATCTCTTGACCTCGTGATCCACCCGCCTCGGCCTCCCAAAGTGCTGGGATTACAGGCTTGAGCCACCGCGCCCGGCCGACAGCCATGACTTTTATTTCCTATGTACATCTTTTCCATACTCTCCCTACACAACAAAAATGTAGATTTATTGATGTTTTGCTGCTTTTTAAAAGACAAAATGAATGAATAAAAAATAAATTTCCCTCATATGAGTTATAAAATTATCAAGGAGATATATAAATGTAAAATTTAAAGATTATGAACTATAACCTTAAAAATCAAGTATGATGCTTAATATTACATGACAAAAAATTAGAATGCAACTTTATATAATAGAGCCTTATGTTCTTTCATCCAACAATGTGAGAAATAAGTAGGTAAATTATCGTTATTTTTTAAAGAGGTAGCATCACACTACATTGCCCAGACTAGTATTGAACTCCTGGGCTCAAGTGAACCTCCCCCTTCAGTCTCCCAAACAGCTGGGACTACAGGCACTTGACACCTTGCCCTGCCAGAATCAATTTTTTTTTTTTTTTTTTTTTTTGAGACGGAGTTTCGCTCTTGTTACCCAGGCTGGAGTGCAATGGCGCGATCTCGGCTCACCGCAACCTCCGCCTCCTGGGTTCAGGCAATTCTCCTGCCTCAGCCTCCTGAGTAGCTGGGATTACAGGCACGCACCACCATGCCCAGCTATTTTTTTTTGTATTTTTAGTAGAGACGGGGTTTCACCATGTTGACCAGGATGGTCTCGATCTCTTGACCTTGTGATCCACCCGCCTCGGCCTCCCAAAGTGCTGGGATTACAGGCTTGAGCCACCGCGCCCGGCCAGAATCAATTTTAAATAGCAACACATCCATTGTCGGAAGAGGGGAAGAATCATAATTTAATTAATCTGGCCAAGCATCCTCAAAAGATCAAACAATCCACCACATTTTAATTACTTGACCTGGAAAAACTCTTTTGATTTTATAAAAACACAAACAAGAATACAAATAGTGAAATAAAAGCTCACTGAAAAATTTAAGACTAAAAATGTTCCCAAAATTAGACACATTGGAAGTGGACTCCTTATAAGTAATATCATTACCCTATAGAACTGTAGCCAGCATTAAATAAAAGCCATAAATAAGAATTTTAGTGTCCTAAAAACTCTGTATTTTCCTTTCATGGCTTAGCTATAGGAAATTTACCCTCTGGGCTCTCTCATGCTCCTCTCGAGCCTTCTTAACTCTTTCTATTCTTTCTTTGATCTCTCGCTCTTCACGTTTTCGCTCATACTTTCTCCGATGTTCTGCAATTTTCTGTGCCTAGAAAAAAGAGCCATAACTTAGCCTGCTCCAAAAGCTGAATAAGGTTAACACAAGTATTCTCTGTGGAGAAACGTTTAATTCAACATACAGTTCTGAAAAATGACAGATTTGCCTTGTAGAAAAAGATGTAGCACAAGTTCAGGATTTAACAAAACCAACCTCAACTGCATGAGGCACTGTAAAACAGAGGAAAGGGCCTGGGATTTGAAGTTACAGAGAAATGTTATAATCTCAGATTAACAAACAGGTTTCAAACTGCACGACAATTCCTGCCACCTAGTTTCTACCAGATACACAGTGTTTAGGTTTCAAAAGGACAGCACGGTTCAATAGAACACTATTATTAAGGATGTCTGCCGTGGAAGGCAGAGACTGGGAACACATACTCCAAGTATATGCAACAGTATATTTAAGTTTCCATATCCATAAAACAGGAAGGGAAAAAATATTTAGTCTTATCGAATTGCTACAGTCTATATTATAGAGGGAAAACATGTAAATATGTATACCAGACACTAGTAAATAGTATCAAATAAATTCTCTGCATCTGTTATTTCCTCAGAGAATAAATCAAAGAGATTCATATTCCACTGTCACTTTAGCTTGTTTACAACTTTGCTGACAAGTTAGCACTGTTATAAGAAAACAGAAAACCAAATGAACTCTCTGGCAGTAAATAAATTAAATTCAATACAATTTTCACTGCCTTAAAACCTCTGAGAGTAAATTCCTGACAGCTGAATTTCCCACAGAATGAAGGATTTACCGTGTAAATGCATTAAATTTTTTTTTTTTTTTTTTTGAGACGGAGTTTTGCTCTTGTTACCCAGGCTGGAGTGCAATGGCACCATCTCAGCTCACTGCAACCTCCGCCTCCTGGGTTCAGGCAATTCTTCTGCCTCAGCCTCCTGAGTAGCTGGGATTACAGGCATGTGCCACCATGCCCAGCAAATTTTTTGTATTTTTAGTAGAGACGGGGTTTCACCATGTTGATGAGGATGGTCTCGATCTCTTGACCTTGTGATCCACCTACCTTGGCCTCCCAAAGTGCTGGGATTACAGGCGTGAGCCACCACACCCGGCCATTAAAATTATTTTAACCAACAATTTTAAAGAAAAATCATCCTTAAAAGCTGGAATGACGTCAGGCGCGGTGGCTCAAGCCTGTAATCCCAGCACTTTGGGAGGCCGAGGCGGGTGGATCACACGGTCAAGAGATCGAGACCATCCTGGTCAACATGGTGAAACCTTGTTTCTACTAAAAATACAAAAATTAGCTGGGCATGGTGGCGCGTGCCTGTAACCCCAGCTACTGAGGAGGCTGAGGCAGGAGAATTGCCTGAACCCAGGAGGCGGAGGTTGCGGTGAGCCGAGATCGCGCCATTGCACTCCAGCCTGGGTAACAAGAGCGAAAACTCCGTCTCAAAAAAAAAAAAAAAAAATGCTGGAATGTTCTACCTTTGGGATTTAGTATTATTTTTAAAAGACTGAAACTACTTCTTTTTGTTTTTGTTGTTTTAAAGACAGTCTCGCTCTGTCACCCAGGCTGGAGTGCAGTGGCACAATCCTGGCTCACTGCAACATCTATCTCCCAGGTTCAAGTGATTCTCCTGCCTCAGCCTCCCAAGTAGCTGGGACTACAGGCACACATGCCACCATGCCTGGCTAATTTTTTATATTTTTAGTATTTTATATTTTATATTTTTAGTAGGGACAGCGTTTCACCATCTTTACTATGTTGGCCAGGCTGGTCTTGAACTCCTTGACCTCAGATGATCCACTCACCTCTGCTTCCCAAAGTGCTGGGATTACAGGCGTCAGCCACGGCGCCTGGCCAGAAAGAATGAAATTTTTTTTTTTTTTTTTTTTTTTTTTGAGACGGAGTTTCGCTCTTGTTACCCAGGCTGGAGTGCAATGGCGCGATCTCGGCTCACCGCAACCTCCGCCTCCTGGGTTCAGGCAATTCTCCTGCCTCAGCCTCCTGAGTAGCTGGGATTACAGGCACGTGCCACCATGCCCAGCTAACTTTTTGTATTTTTAGTAGAGACGGGGTTTCACCTTGCTGACCAGGATGGTCTTGATCTCTTGCCCTCGTGATCCACCCGCCTCGGCCTCCCAAAGCGCTGGGATTACAGGCTTGAGCCACCGCGCCCGGCTGAGAATGAAATTTCTTAACTTCCACAAGGCCTTCTTGCTTCATAAAGTGGCTATGATATATAAGGACACACCACACTCAATCTTGGATAATGCTAATTATAGATTTTCTATTTGTTTCCTTGTTGTAAACCTGATACCTTCTTTTCTATTTCTAATTTTCTGGTTATAATTCTACCTCAGGCTTCCAAACAAAGTAACAGACCTTGCACTAATAAAGCATGATAAATGAAAGCATGAAAACCTAGTAAGATCTCTAGAGTTGAGCACAAACTTCAGCAATTAGATTTTTATCTTCCAATGGTTTGTTTCTTTGCTTGTTTTTCAGATGAATTATGGCTGCCAGGGGTAAGCACTGGAGCGATGGAGTATTAAACTAATGACTTTCCCTTTCTCTACTTTAACATACCCTAGGTTGAACTTCTTTCAGCATTGCACTCGCATCTTCATCATAATCCAGTTTACAGGCAAGGGCAAGATCATGGGCTGCTTCTTCCCAGTGGCCTAGAAGTCTGAAACAGATTTACAGTCATTTTAGGAGCCTTTTATACATATTAACCTATGTGGCATGATTATCTTTCTTCCTTACAAAAAAGGATTGTTTTAGAACAGGTTTAAGTTAAATATTAACTATAAACTTTTATAAACTAATTCAATTACTATATACCACTACTAGTTAACTCTATAAAAACTCCAAAACATTTAAATTTCCTCTATGGTAACTGTAAAGCTGCTCTTCTACTAAAAGCTAAAATACAAATGAAACCCTTTCTTAAATCAGATTATCACAAAATTTCTAAAAAGCAGGTAAAGCCATAACTTTCAATTCACCCAAACCAGGATTAACACAATGTGTTAGCGTTTAGCTACCTTCTATATAACACATAGAAAGAAAATAATACATGTGTACAGGCTTTATAAAAAACATAGAACAGGTAAACCAGAAACAAAAGGTTGGTGGGGGCAGTTGAGAATGGGGTAGAGGACACAGCAACGGAAATGAGAATTCTCTGGGTTTACCTTTTAACTAAGGTTTGACTCTTCAAACCTTTAAATGCTTCACATACTTGAAAAATAAGTATGAATCAGAAAAATGTAAATAAAGCAAACCCTAAACCTGAATACAAACAGAAATAAGAAGCTGCGGCCAGGCGCAGTGTATCATCTGAGGTCAGGAGTTCAAGACCAGCCTGGCAAATGTGGCAAAACCCTGTCTCTACTAAAAATACAAAATTAGCCAGGCATGGTGGCGCGTGCCCATAATCCCAGCTACTCGGGAGGCTAGGTAGAAGAACTGCTTGTACCCACGTGGCAAAGGTTGCAGTGTGCCAAGATTGCGCCACTTCACTCCAGCCTGGGTAAAAGAGGAAAATTCCTCCTCTAAAAAAAGGGGGGGCGGGCTGTGCATTGCACTAACATAAGTTACACAGAAGAAATAAATTCAAGTAATTTTTAATATAGTTATTTTTGACTATATATTTCAAGTGTGATATATATGCTAAGAACATCCCTCACCGGGTATGGTGGCTCAAGCCTATATTCTCAACACTTTGGCAGGCCAAGGAGGGCAGATTACTTGAGGCCAGGAGTTTGAGAACAGCCTGGCCAACGTGGTGAAAACCCCCTCTACAAAAAATACAAAAAATTAGCCAGGCATGGTGGGGTACAACTGTTAAGTAATCCCAGCTACTCAAGAGGCTGAGGCAGGAGAATCACTTGAACCTGGAGCCAAGGTTGCAGTGAGCTGAGATTGCACCACTTCACTCCAGCCTGGGTTAAAGAGCAAAAACTCAAGAAAAAAAGTGGGGAGGGGAGGGTATATTACATTAACAACGTAAGTGACACAGAATAAATGAATTCAAGTAACTTTTAATATAGTTATTTTTTATATATATTTCAAGCGGGATATATATTCTAAGAACATTCCTGACTGGGCGTGGTGGCTCACTCCTATATTCTCCATACTTTGGGAGGCTAAGGAGGGCAGATTACTTGAGGCCAGGAGTTTGAGAACAGCCTGGCCAACATGGTGATACCACCCCCATCCCCCCACCCAACCAAAAAAATACAAAAAATCAGCCAGGCATGGTGGGGCATGACTTGTAAGTAATCCCAGCTACTCAGGAGGCTGAGGCAGCAGAATCACTTGAACCCAGGAGGCAACGTTGCAGTGGGCCAAGATTGTACCACTGCACTCCAGCCTGGGTGATACAGCGACACTGTCTAAAAACAAAAAGCAAAACAAAACAGAAGCATTCCAAAAAAACTTCAAACTTTACTTAAGAGACACACAATTTTTAAGCTATTATAATTCTGAAACAATTTTATGTATATCACAGCATTGAAGTGTAAAACTAGAACAAAAATTTTAACTACATATGTGTCAAAAATACAAACTAAAAAGTAAAACAAAACATTTAATGTTAAATTTTAATAGACAACATCAGAATTTTAAAATTTAAATTATTAAATATTATTAAATTTTTAGTGTCATAATTTCAATTTTCCTTAAATTCATGACTTAAATTTTAATTTATTAATTTAATAAAGTATTAGTGTCATAATTGCAAGATTTTTCCTTAAATTCATGATTCAAAATTTTTTTCTAGCTGCTCATTGAAACAACAGTGCATACCAGAAACAATGAACATACACAGTGCTCAAATCTTAGCTTCCACTAAAATGAATCATGATTTCCCACAGAAATGGCTTAAGTCTGACACAAGCAAAGCACAAGATGAGCCGACGCTGTCTTGTATTAGAAGGGCAAGAAATACTTGGACTAACGGGATTTCAAAAGGATCAACAGCAATGCATGAGCTTTTCCTGTGCCCACATACCATTAATAAATTTTGTTTCAACTTATAATGTTTATCTTTATCATGTGACACCATAAAATCCACTAGAGCTACTCTAAGTCAGCTAACACAGTTGTCCCAAACATATCCACCTTTATCTCCAACAACATTTGAGGCATAAGACCTTTCAACCCATGTAACATGTAAAGTCACTAATGCTTTAAGTTTTGCTGCCAGGAATAATTACTAATCAGGTTAAATTCACCTCTTTATGCCCCCTGGCCTTTTCCTAATTTTTCAGGTGGCCTAAGCAGTGACTGAAGTAGTTTCAGGCTGGCATACTCCTTTTCCTATAATATACTGATGATTCAATGCTAAATTAGAGAGTCTGAAAATAAGATACAATTTGTAAGGACACTAACAAAAGATCATTATTTTCTTTTCCTGGAATTAATTTTAAATATAAATCCTTACCTTATATTTGGCCATATGTAGTCAAAAACTGGTAACAGTAGCTTTGTTTGAATAAAAGGAGTGAAAAAAATTTTTATTTTCTTCTTTCTTCCTTCCTATATTCTCACTTCCTTTTTTAAAAATTTCTTTTTTCTTTTTCCTTTTAAGCAGCTGGCTACAAGCTATCTCACTTCTTAATACTAAGTATATACTAATTTGAAAATTAAGCCATTAGGAACTTTTGTGTTTTTGTTTAAACAAAGTGTCTTAACACATCAGATTTAAATGTAAAGAGTTCTGAAAATAATTAAATTCAGTAATTTACCTGTGTGCTTTCCCTCGCCACTTGTAAGGCTGAGCTGAATCAGGATTTATTTCAATGGCTCTGTCACAGTCTCGGATGGCAGCATTTGGCTTCTGTAATTTGACGAAGACACTGAAAAATAAGTGTGATATTTAAAAATATTCATTTCAGTTCGTATCTGAGTCATGGCACCTCCCTCAAAAAAAAGTACTCATTTCAATAAAACTTTTGAGATCAACACAGAAGGAAACTCTATTTAAACAAATGTGCAGAAATTATTCACCAGAAGGTATTTTCTTTTTTTCTTTTGAGATGGAGTTTCGCTCTTGTTACCCAGGCTGGAGTGCAATGGCGCGATCTCGGCTCACTGCAACCTCCGTCTCCTGGGTTCAAGCAATTCTCCTGCCTCAGCCTCCCGAGAAGCTGGGACTACAGGCGTGTGCCACCATGACCAGCTAATTTTTTGTATTTTTAGTAGAGACAGTGTTTCACCATGTTGACCAGGATGGTCTCGATCTCTTGACCTCGTGATCCACCCGTCTTGGCCTCCCAAAGTGCCGGGATTATAGGCGTGAGCCACTGCGCCCGGCCAGAAGATACTTTCTGTTGACAGTTCTCACCTGGCCCTCTTGGCATACAAAATGGCCAAGCGAGGATTCAGCTTGATGGCATCTGTGAATAAGTCAATGGCTTTCTGCAATTCACCTAAAGCGAAACAAAAGTTATCAAAAAATATTCAGAGGATAAAAATATTAATAAAGTTTTGATCTCTTATCCAGTTAGTCTCTTACATTTTTATTTTAATCAAGTAAAAAAAAAAAAAGACAACAGTCTAAGTTATACAAAAATTGGCTTTTGAAAGCAAATCTTACGACACCTATACTGTAACTCACTTGAGACACGACAATTTCTGGGTACATAAGCCCCTAACAATAGAATAGCACACTCTTAGAATGACCCATATTGATTTTGTTTAAAGAAAAAAAAGGATAAAATCAATTTAAAGGATAAGGTAAATTAATTCCATTGATTTTCTTTTATCCATTAAATTAAAAAGATAAAATTAAGCTTACAAGGGAAAAAGAACCCATGCTAACTTCACAGGGCTGATTTTAAAAGAAAACAATATACTCGTTTGAATTTTTAAAAATGGGACAAAAACTTAAGACAACTAGAATTCATAAAAGACCGTAATCATCTATACTTTAATTCACTGTGTCCTATTCTCATAGTTAGCTTTTTTTTTTTTTTTTTTTGAGACAGAATCTGACTCTGTGCGCCCAGGCTGGAATGCAGTGGCACGATCTCGGATCACTACAGCCTCCACCTCCCAGGTTCAAGCGCTTCTTCTGCCTCTGCTTCCTGAGTAGCTGGGATTACAGGTGCCCACCATTATGCCCAACTGATTTTTGTATTTTCGTAGAAACAGGGTTTCACCATGTTGGCCAGGCTGGTCTGGAACTCCTGATCCACCTGCCTTGGCCTCCCAAAGTGCTGGGATTATAGGCATGAGCTACCATGCCCGGCCAGTTAGCTTCTTTATTAATCCCTTAGTCATTCAATGAAGAAAACACACTATAGAGTCAGAACAGTTCTTTGCATAAAGTCTAGTTCTTGGAGAGGCAGGACAAATACAGAGTATTTTTTTTAATGAGACAGGTTCTAACTCTCACATAGGCTATAGTATAGTGGCATGATCATAGCTCATAGCTGAAGGGATCATACCACCTCAGCTTCCTGAGCAGCTGGGAATACAGGCCCACACCACTAAACCTGGCTAATTAAAAATTTCTTATAGACTGGGCCTCGGTGTGTCACCTAGGCTACTCTCAAACTCCTGGGCTCCAGTGATGCTCCCACCTCAGCCTTCTGAGTAGCTGGGATTACCATTGTGCCAGGCCAAACACAGAAATTTTAAGACAAATGTCACAATTCACTGTGAAAGCTACTTAGCCAGTTAGTGAAAGAGTAAAGGACTTGAAAAGAACTCACAAAAGCAACACAGAAAAGAATGCTCAGTATTAGTATTTACTACTACAGAAACCTATTACAGGTAATTACACTTGGATGTCTAATAAGCAACTCAGACCTACCATGTTCAAGACTTAACTTTTTTTTTTTTTGTTTTGAGATGAAGTCTTGCTCTATCACCAGGCTGGAGTGCAATGGTTCGATCTCGGTTTGCTGCAATCTGCCTCCTGGGTTCAAGTGATTCTCCTGCCTCAGCCTCCTGAGTAGCTGGGACTACACATATGCGCCACCATGCCCAGCTAATTTTTATATTTTTTGTAGAGATGGAGTTTCACCATGTTGGCCAGGATAATCTCGATTTCTTGACCTCTTGATCCACCTGCCTCGGCCTCCCAAAGTGCTAGGATTACAGGCGTGAGTCACCACGCTCAGCCATTTTTTTTTAAATACAGGGTGTTGCTCTGTCACCCAGGTTGGAGTGCAGTGGCAGAATCACAGCTTACTGTAGGCTCAACTTCCTGGGCTCAAAGGGTCCTCCTAGCCTCAAGGGAACCTCCCATTTCAGCCTCTCAAGTACCTGGGACTACAGGAATGTGCCATCACACTCAGCTAATTTTTTGTGTTTTTTTAAGAGATGGAATCTCACTGTGTTGGCCAGGCTGATCTTGGACTTCAGTCCCTCGACGTGCTGGGATTATAGGTGTAAACCACCACACCTAGACAAAACTGAAAAAACTAAATTCCTATTTCCAAACCTATTCCCAATCTGTATCTTCCCAACTAAATAAATGGCTCCCCCATACATTTAGTTCAGGAGTTGGTAAACATTTTCTGGAAAGGGCCAAATGAGAATTATTTTGATCTCTGCAGATAATACAATCTGCCATAACTATTTAATGATGCTGTTACAGTGGGAAAGCAGCCATAGTTTAAGTGCCAGACCTGAGATTCAAACCACAGCACTCTGGCTCCATACTCCACACTTTAACTACATTCTCCAAACAGAAGTACCTTCACCAGCTCTTGGTGGGGCTTGGATTCACAATCCCTGATTTAGAAATCTAACCTTTTGTCCTTTAGGATATACTATAAAATTGCATAAATTCTAAAATCAGAACTAGGTTAAATTTACAGTCACATGAACAGAGTTTAGAAAAAAAAAAAAAAAAAAAAAAAAAAAAAAAAAAAAAAAAAAAAAAAAAAAGAAGGCCGGGCGCGGTGGCTCAAGCCTGTAATCCCAGCACTTTGGGAGGCCGAGGCGGGTGGATCACGAGGTCGAGAGATCGAGACCATCCTGGTCAACATGGTGAAACCCCGTCTCTACTAAAAATACAAAACATTAGCTGGGCATGGTGGCACGTGCCTGTAATCCCAGCTACTCAGGAGGCTGAGGCAGGAGAATTGCCTGAACCCAGGAGGCGGAAGTTGCGGTGAGCCGAGATCGCGCCATTGCACTCCAGCCTGGGTAACAAGAGCGAAACTCCGTCTCAAAAAAAAGAAAAAAAATAAGAAAACTAAAACGTGATTTATTAGGTAATAGCCTGCTCATTTTCATTTTGTTACATACTGCGGAGACAGGAAATTTAAAAATGGACAGTGCACAGTGCCTCCCACCCGCAATACTAGCACTCTGGGAGGCTGAGCTGGGAGGCCTGCTTAAGGCCAATTCAAGACCAGCCCAGGCAACAGGATAACAAGCTATTTCTACCAAAAAAAAAAAAAAAAAAAAAGATAATTAGCCAGGCATGCTCTTATATTCCCAGCTACTCTGGAGGATTGCTTGAGCCAGTAAAATCAAACTGCAGTGAGCCATGACCATGCCACTGCACTCCAACCTGAATGACAGAGTGAGACCCTGTCTCTTAAAACTTAAGCGGTAGGAAAATTAGCAAAAGTTTCATGTGAAAAAGAAAAGGAATGGAATAGAAGAGCAGTGGCTGGGAACAAATTGATGGGCATGAATTAAAAGCTGAAAACAGGCCGGGCCTGGTGGCTCACACCTGTAATCCCAGCACTTTGGGAGGCCGATGTAGAGAGATGACCTGAGGTCAGGAGTTTGAGACCAGCCTGACCAACGTGCTGAAACTCCCATCTCTACAAAAAATACAAAAATTAACCAGGCGTGGTGGCACATGCCTGTAATTCCAGCTACCAGGAGGGTTGAGGCAGGAGAATTGCTTGAACCCAGGAAGCAGAGGTTGCAGGGAGCTGTGATCATGCCTTTGCACTCCAGCCTGGCAACAAGTGCAAAACTTTATCTAACTATCTAATCTATCTAAATAAATAAGTACGTAAGTTGAACTACGTAAAGAAAAGCTTTCTGGAAAAGCAGTAAAGCACAAGTAAAAAAACATTCTCAGACAGTAAAGTCTGACTGGAGAAAACAAAGCTGGAGAAATACGGTGTTTTACTCTGGCAGGTCTATAATCCTCTGATGAAGATCTTTTATGTATACAAAAGTTCATCACAGGTTATAAGCAACAGAATAGTATAATAAAAAACAGCTTTAAGAAAAAATAACCTAGGGACAGTAAACAGAAAGTAATAAAGAAAATAAATTTTTCAGCAAAGTAAACTATTAAGACAACCGCAGTATAAAATAGTATAAACATGTACTAAGGAGCTAAATTAATCCGGTGGTAGAATCACAAAATGTTTAAAATATGTATCAACTTGGAACATCAATACTGACCTCATTCTAAAAATAACTCCAAGTCACCTTCTAATCTAATAGTGAAGTCCAAATGCACATGAGCACTATACAATAGCATCTAGTTAACTATGGCATTGTGACACACTATCATAGTTATCAAGATGTTTGCATGAAATATTACTCATGCAGCCACAGTACCCAAGTTTATACATGATTCTTATAAATTATAACTGATTAAACATTATATTTAATACTACCATGGGCCAGGTACAGTGGCTCATGCCTATAATCCCAGCACTTTGGGAGGCCGAGGTGGGCGGATCACTTGAGAATTCGAGAAATAAGGAATTCGAGACCAGCCCAGCCAACATGGCAAAACCCCGTCTCTACTAAAAATACAAAAATTAGCTGGGCACAGTACCACATGCCAGTAATTCCAACTACCAGGGAGGCTGGGGCAGAATTGCTTGAACCCAGTGAGTGGAAGTTGCAGTGAGCTGAGATTGCACCACTGCACTCCAGCCTGAGTGACAGAGCAAGACTCTGTCTCAAAAATAAAAAAACATAATTTAAATTAAAAAAAAAAAAAGACTACCATTAAAAAAAGAACCTATTGTTACCTTGAAGAGTTAAAAAAAATACATATATATATATATACACACACACACACAAAAAAAATACTACCAGCACTTTCTCACTCTGATGGGATTTTCTCAAGAGGATCTAACATGCAGGGACTAGAAATAAGACTGGTATGCCTAGGAACATCATCTGTCAAGGGTATTACTACTTAAAAAGTTAAGGGTCACTGCTCTAATATTACCTTTTTTTTTTTTTTTTTTTTTTTAAGGCTTTCACCTCTTTAAAGCCTCTTCTCAGTAGAAAAACGCCATGATACAGTCAGGAAATCAGAGGCAATCAATCAAATCAGGATCTGTCCTTGCAGAGGCAAGGTAATTAAAACTGAGTGATTTCAGTCTCTTTATCAATGAGGAAGGGGTGGCTGGATAATAGGACACTATCTTCCCCAGTACAGCATAGGTACATGTAAGTTTTCTTCCACTTTATCACTATTTAAGTTACTGCAATAAAGAAGACAATATTCTGACTACCACAGAAATGTAGCAAAAAGATTACTTACCATCATTTAGGGCTTCAATAGCAGACACTTTCTTATCATTTGCCTGATCTATCATCTCCTCTGTTATCTAGGAAGAAAATGAAAATCATCTTAGAATTAGAGAGAGAGAAGGAAGCAATCTGGACTTTATAGGCATGAGGCGCAGTCACAATTCCCATTTTCATTCATTCTTCTTTAGTCTCCAGAGAACAAAGAGACAATTATGATACCTGATTAGTGAGAAACTATACACAATGGGTTTTAACCTTATATACTAAACAAATTTCACTCCTACACTCTGCCCTAGACAAGACCGTTGCTTAACCTTCCATCCCAACCAAAGCATACCACCTCCTTCCCAGCTATCCATAAATATTAAACCTAATCTCCTCACAAAGAGACAACTAGCCCCTTTTAAGTTTGAATCCTTAGGCGAGAAAGGTCTCATTCCTTTGTTCCCACAAACAACTACTGAGCCCCCATACTATATAGACAGACCAAACACTGTACAAGATGCTGACAGTACAAAAATTGATTAAGAACAAAAACATATCATCTGGGCGACTGAGGGAGATCCCATCTCTCCAAAAAACAAAAACAAAAACAAAAACAAAACTGGGCATGGTGGCACATGCATCTGGTCCCAGCTACTCCAGAGGCTGAGTTAGGAGGATTGCTTGAGCTCGGAGGTCAAGGCTGCAGTGAGTCATGATTGCACCATGCACTCCAGCCTGGGTGACACAGAGTGAGACCTTGTTTCACCCCACCTCTGCAAAAAAAGAACAAAAACTTAACAGCAAATAAAATGGAAATCTCATCAGTTCTTTAATCACAGGAAAAAGATATATACACTCCACCACCAGTGTCTAAACTGAAGGTGCTGGCTAACTCATTAAGAAAGTAATTTGAGGCCAGGTGCAATGGCTCACGCCTGTAATTCCAACACTTTGGGAGGCTGAGGTGGGTGGACTGCTCGAGTCCAGGAGTTCAAGACCAACCTGGGTAACATGGTGAAACCACGTCTCTACAAAAAATAAACATAAAAAGTAAATATTAAATATAAAAATGACTTTTTCTTTATTTAAAGACAGGATCACCCTCTGTCACCCAAGCTCCAGTGCAGTGGTGCAATCATGGCTCACTGTAACCTCCATCTCCAGGGCTCAGCCTCCCCTCCCATGTTTGGACAAGAGGCTCACACCCAGCTAAATCTTTTGCGTTTTTTTTTTTATAGAGATAGGTTTTCATCATGTTGCTCAGGCTGGTCTGGAACTCCTGGACTCAAGCAATTTGTCTGCCTAAACCTCTCAAAGTGCTGGTATTAACAAGCGTGAGCCACCAGTACTGGCTGCAATTTCATTTTGAAGGTAATGCAGGACACAGGACATAAAATCTATATTCAGAGGAAGAGGATGTGTGTGGTCTAACCAGACACCTTCCAAAATAAATCTGGAACTCCAAATGCCAATACCGGCAAGCATAATGGTATAAACCTATCCTACAGAAATGGACAATTGAGTAGTGAGATTAAAGGAACTTCCCCTGAAAATTCAGAACCGCAAGTCAGCCTTTCATTTGGAATTCTTTTTTGTTGCTGTTGTTGAGACGGAGTCTTGCTCTGTCGCCAGGTTAGAGTGCAGTAGCACAATCTTAGCTCACTGCACCTCTGCCTCCTGGGTTCAAACAATTCTCCTGCCTTAACCTTCTGAATAGCTGGGACTACAGGTGTCCGCCACCACACCCAGCTAATTTTTGCATTTTTAGTAGAGAAGGGGTTTCACCATGTTGGCCAGGACGGTCTTGATCTCCTAACCTTGTGATATGCCCACCTCGGCCTCCCAAAGTGCTGGGATTACAGGCATGAACCACAGCACCCGGCCTCATTTGCACCCAGCCTCATTTGCAATTCTTTACTACCAAAGTAATTAGAACAAATAAAACATCATGCTGAGACTTTTAAGGGGACTTTGAGTTGGTAGCACCGATTCAGAACCTGACAGAAGCAATCACCTTCTTACCTAGGCCTCAAAAATTTTCTACAGGTGAAGATTCAAATAACCCATTTTCAAAATATCACACAAAACACACACACCGTAAGTAAACAAGGTACCTTAATGAGCAAGAGCCATGAAAAACAAAAGACCAGCAAAGAGTTCAACAAGGAATTTAATGTGTTTATTAAAAGTAAATTCTAAAAATGAGTAAAGAGCAAAAGACTTCAATATAACCAAGCAGACTTCAAAAAGATCTGAAGTACCAAAATGAAAAACACAAGCATTCCAATTCAAACACCAATGGAACAGAAAAAGCATACAACGCTTTTCAGCAGACAGTAATAAATGAAAATTAACAAAGAAAAAGTCTAACATGTATCTGTCCAGGGATTCAGAATTAGAGCATAAACAGAGAGGAGGCAATATTTGAATGAAATAACAGCTGAAAATTTTCTAGAACTAAAGAAAGTTAACCCTAGAACTTGATGCTCAATGAATCCTAAGCAGGATAAATAAAAAATTATAAACTGGACACATCGTCAAATAAACAATACCATCAATAAACAGAACACTTAACCTTTAATGTTTCCTTTGGCAAATGGTGACAGAAAGTACCTATATCTGTTCTTAACAAAAATGCACAAGACAGGTCAAGTGCAGTAGCTCATAACTGTAATCCCAGCACTTTGGAAGGCCAGGAGTTTGAGTCTTTGTCTCTACTAAAAATTAAAAAAAATAAAAATAAACTAGCTGGGTATGAGGGTGCATGACTATAGTCTCAGTTGCTAGGTGGGCGGAGGCAGGAGGATCACTGAGCCCAGAGGGTCAAGGGTGCAAAGAGCTATGATTCTAACACTACACTCCAGCCTGGAGGACAGAGTGAGACCTGTCTCAAAAAAAAGCACAGGACTTACGGGGAACATGTTAGTAAGTTATTAAAACATTTTAAAAATACCTAAAAATTAGGCGTGTCTCATATTTATGGATAGTTAATCTCAATGGTGAGGAGATGTATCTTCTCCCTAACTTGATTTAGATTTAACACAATTCTAACAAAAGGGAAAAAGCTAATGGGAGGGGGGAGACTTGATCATCTATTCCCAAAATTTACTTGAAAAAACAAAAAGCCAAGAATAGCCAAGACTTCTAAAGCTTTGGGAGTCCTTGTTCTACAAAATGACAAAACTTAGTATCAAATGATGTGGCATTAGTGAGCAGGAAAAAATTAGACAAGCAGAACAAGAGAGGCCTCAGACAGACCCACAATATATGGAAACAGTGTATTTTAGTACTGGTGGAACAGGTAGACTGAAGGTGAAAAGTATGTGTATAAAATTTTCAGAGGAAAAAACACAATGCATTACAGCAATTATAACCTTAAAGTAATAAAGTAGAAAATATAAAATACTCCTCAATCTACCTGCATTAAAATATACTATTTTTGAAACAATACAAAGATGAGTGAAGATGACTCACAAAGCAGCAGAAAATATGTGTAGCACTAGCAACAAATTACTAGCATCCGGAATACTGAAATGAAATACAAAGCGGCAGGGCGCAGTGGGCCATGCCTGTAATGTCAGCACCTTGGGAAGCCAAGGTGGATGGATCACCTGAGGTCAGGAGTTTGAGACCAGCCTGGCCAATATGGTGAAACCCAATCTCTACTAAAAATAAAAAAATTAGCTGGGCGTGTTGGATCGCACCTCTAGTCCCAGCTGCTTGGGAGACTGAGGCAGGAGAATTGCTTGAACCTGGGAGTCGGAGGCTGCAGTGAGCCAAGATTGCGCCACTGAACTCCAGGCTGAGCAACAGACCAAGACTCAGTCTCAAAAAATAAATAAATAAATACACAGATAGAAATACAAAGCAATAACAAAAAGATCCAGCAAAAAGTGGAAAAAGGGTTTGAACAGGACTTCATAAATGCTAGTGAACAGTCAATAAACATTTAAATATGCTCAGCCTCATTAGGAATCAGGAAAATGCAATTTATTTATTTTTTTTGGAGATGCTGTCACCCAGGCTGGAGTGCAATGTCGTGATTTCAGCTCAATGTAACCTCTGCCTACCAGGTTCAGTCGATTGTCCTGCCTCAGCCTCCCAAGTAGCTGGGATTACAGATGCCCACTACCACGCTCAGCTAATTTTTGTATTATTAGTAGAGAAAGGGTTCTCCATGTTGGCCACGCTGGTCTCAAACTCCTGACGTCAGGTAATCCACCCGCCTCCACTTCCCAAAGTGCTGGGATTATACGTGTGAACCACCGTGCCCAGCCAGGAAAATGTAAATTAAAAGCCACAAAAAGATATCATCTCTCACAAGACTGGCAAAGATGAAATCTGACGATCTCAAGTTTTAAGGATACAAACAAATCTTTTAAAACTGCTATTACTATCTTAGAGTGTTTCTCAACCTCTTTTTTATCAGACACCAAGGAGTCTTTTTAATAGACATACTTTCCTCATATCCACACCCCCAATTTTAATATCAGATATACACTACGTATTATGTTAACATTCTGAGTCTTTGGAGGACCACTAACCACTGTAATACGTAGAGTGTTTTTCAAGCCATCCTCCCAAGAGCCAATTTTCACACCCTTGAGGCCCGTTATGACAAAACCATTCTGGAATACAATTTGGCATTAGATATTCCATTTAGAGGCAATCACACTAGCATATATGTTTTTGAGACGGAGTTTCGCTCTTGTTACCCAGGCTGGAGTGCAATGGTGCGATCTCGGCTCACTGCAACCTCTGCCTCCTGGGTTCAGGCAATTCTCCTGCCTCAGCCTCCTGAGTAGCTGGGATTACAGGCACGTGCCACCATGCCCAGCTAATTTTTTGTATCTTTAGTAGAGACGGGGTTTCACCATGTTGTCTAGGATGGTCTCGATCTCTTGACCTCGTGATCCACCCACCTCGGCCTCCCAAAGTGCTGGGATTACAGGCTTGAGCCACTGCGCCCGGCACAGCAGATATGTATTTTAAGTGAATTCTATGTTACAGTGTAAGCAGTCAAACCAGATGCAAATTTAAACAACAGATAAAACATAAAATAACAGCATTTCTTTTATTTATTTATTTTAATTTTCCCCACAAGTATTTTAAGTAGTAAAATACAATGCTTGCCTAAATGCCTCAAGCCAAAGACAGATTTACTATGCACTTTTCCTGGAAGAAATGTCCCAGAAGAAATGATTTTCATGTCATAAAATCATTGCAACAGCAGAACACTTCACATTTCTTCGAACAAGCAGGATACCAAGTCACCTAACTTACCTCTGTATTTTCATCTCCCATTTCTTGAGGGGTGTCAGTGTCTGGTTCAATCACACCTTCATTATCAATTTCTGCCAAAGTTGAGAAAATGACAATAAGACCTGCACTGTACAATATTGTAGCCACTCCCCACAAGATTAAAAACTGATGTACTTACTATGTCTAGTGCAATTAATAAATTGAATATTTTAATTAATTTAAATTTTGATGTTGATGCATTTTAAAACATGTTCCCATTAAACATTTCATTGCTTTGGTAAGACTATACTTTATGTTAACTGTCACATCATGTAAGTTATTTATCAGGTTGTACTGGGATTGTTGCCATGTGCAGCTTCTGATATTACAAAACATACACATAAATACACCGCTAATTTAGTCTCTGTCAACAAACATTCAAATAATTTTTTTCTACACACAGATGTACTATGTGTTTTTCAAAAATACTTTATGCAGGTAACACAAGCTACAGTGATACTTTAATGTAAGTCATAAAATATTTTAATATAGTTATATTCATTAATCTCCTTTTTAAAAATAATTTTGGGGACACAGGATCTTACTATGTTGTCCAAGAAATCCTCCTACCTTAGCATCCCAAAGCACTAGAATTTCAGGCATGAGCCACTGCACCTGGTCTCTAATTATTTTCATTTTTAAAAGTAGCATGAACATATTTTAATTTTAAAATAAAGATTTACTACTGATGCAGAATCAAGTACCAAGGCTAGTTTTTAAAATAGATTTAGTTTCCATATATACAGCAGTGACCAAGGCTACTATTTACAACCAAAACAGTAAAGACCGAAGAGCAGTATCTTGCAAGTTTCATGTTAAATGACAAGTGTAATTTGTTGCAACAGAGCAAAACAAGAGTTACATATACATAAAAAGCCATTTAAAAATAATATATTTGCAAATAGATAATTTGATGTTTCCTTAGTCAAAAAAAAAAAGAAATTAAAATCAGTCACCTAAAAGCAGAATTAGGATACAGCAACAACAAAAAACTTGTGATGCACGACTGACAAATAATACATATATTTACGGTGTACGACGTGCTGTTGTAACCTACAGGTATACTTCATTTTATTGTGTTTCACTTTACTGCACCTCACATTATGAAATGATTCTCACCCATTGTATTAATAACCTATCCACCTCATATATTTATTTATTTTTGGTGAAAACACTGAAGAGCTAGTCTCTTAGCAAATTTCCAGTATACAGTCATCAGGTTGTATATTAGATCTCTGGAATTTATTAAGAATAAAACTCAGCCGGGCGCGGTGGCTCAAGCCTGTAATCCCAGCACTTTGGGAGGCCAAGGCGGGTGGATCACGAGGTCAAGAGATCGACACCATCCTGGTCAACATGGTGAAACCCCGTCTCTACTAAAAATACAAAAAATTAGCTGGGCATGGTGGCGCGTGCCTGTAATCCCAGCTACTCAGGAGGCTGAGACAGGAGAATTGCCTGAACCCAGGAGGCGGAGGTTGTGGTGAGCCGAGATCGTGCCATTGCACTCCAGCCTGGGTAACAAGAGCAAAACTCTGTCTCAAAAAAAAAAAAATAAAATAAAATAAATAAAACTCAAATTAAAAAAAAGGAAAAAAAAGAATAAAACTCAATTATTTATGCCCTTTAACAGAGTACAAAAAAAAAATTTAATCCATTTTTAACAGGAACTAAGCTTGTCTAACTATCAAAGTTTGATTTGTACACAAAAAAGAAAACACTTTGGGTGAAGAGTTGGTTAAAAAAATTATTATTGCAGTCTTAGAAATTGGTAGAAAGACTTAAAAAGGCATTTTATAACAAGTAAAAGATCTTCAATGAAGCACTTGAACAACTGCCAATAGAATGTAAGACCTATCTAACAATAACAAAGATCATTTGATTCAGGCCAGGGGTGGTGGCTCACACCTATAATCCCAGAACTTGGGGAGGGAGTTTGAGACTAGTCAGGAGTTTGAGACTAGCCTGGCCAACATGGTGAAACTCTCTCCTGATAATACAAGAAAATGAGCCAGGCATGGTGGCACATGCCCGTAGTCTCAGCTACTCGGGAGGCTGAGGCAGAAGAATCACCTGAACCCAGGAAGAAAAGGTTGCAGTGAGCTGAGATTGTGCCACCACTCTCCAGCCTGGGTGACAGAGTGAGACTCGGTATTAAAAAAAAAAAAAAATCGATTCCAAATTTGAAAAATTTCAAGTACTTTTCTTTAGGTTCTGTGACATAAGAGATTACCCAATTAATAAACTGGGGTATACTTATACCCCCAAAGAGTTCCAAATTCATGAAGAAATGCTGTCAATTTGTGGCCAAAAACCAACCAACCAAACTCAGCACAGATATCAATTCTTCTAAATATCAACTAGTTTTATCAACATGGTTGTAAGTGCTAAACAAATATTCTTGTTTTTTTTGTTGTTGTTTTTGTTTTGAGATGGAGTTTCGCTCTTGTTACCCAGGCTGGAGTGCAATGGCGCGATCTCGGCTCACTGCAACCTCCGCCTCCCGGGTTCAGGCAATTCTCCTGCCTCAGCCTCCTGAGTAGCTAGGATTACAGGCACGTGCCACCATGCCCAGCTAATGTTTTGTATTTTTAGTAGAGACGGGGTTTCACCATGTTGACCAGGATGGTCTCGATCTCTTGACCTCGTGATCCACCCGCCTCGGCCTCCCAAAGTGCTGGGATTACAGGCTTGAGCCACCGCGCCCGGCCAACAAATATTCTTTAGCACTCAATTCAGTTACTGGAAAATTTTTGGCCAAGCATGTTGGCTCACATCTGTAATCCCAGCACTTTGGGAGGCCAAGGCAGGTGGATCACCTGAGGTCAGGAGTTCAGACCAGCCGGATGAACATGAAAAAACCCTATCTCTACTACAAAAATTAGCCTGATGGCACACACCTGTAGTCCCAGCTACTAGGAAGCTGAGGCATGAGAAATGATAGAACCTGGGAGGTGTACGCTGCAGTGAGCTGAGATTATGCCACTGTACTCCAGCCTGGGCGACAGAGTGAGACTGTCTCAAGAAAAGGAAAAAGAAAAAAAAAAAAAAAGAAAACTTTTCATGTATGTTTAGAACTTGAACATTTAACCTAACTTTTTCAAATACAAATGTTATAAAATCTGAATTATTTTCAATGAAAATGTTAACATCTGAATTGAGGGGTGCTACATGTGTAAAATATCCTCTGGAGTTTGAATGCTTACTATTAAAAAAAGAAGGAAAATAATCTGTTAATATATTAATTACAGATGTCAATTTTCAACCAATATAACATTAATATCTGAATTTATTTCGTATTTCTTTTACTTTCTAAAAAGTGAATACTAGAACATTCTAAGTTTCATATGTGCCATTATATTTCTATTACACAGTGCTGGCTTAAGTCACTTCAATAAAAATCAACAAAGGATCATATCACAGGTTTTCAAATACAAACCAACTACCATCTCCTCACCTAGATCACTTTCCTCACTTGACGGTTCGTCTGCCTTTAAGTCTTCCTCTACCTTCTTACTATCAGGTTTTTCTTCCTAGCAAAGGGAAGGCAAACAGTATTAACAGAATTTAATAATATACCCGATATTTATACTAATTTCTACAAGTCTATGTATAAGCTGTTCAAATATGGCCAGGCACAGTGGCTCACACCTGTAATTCCAGCACTCTGGGAGGCCAGGGTAGGTGGATCATTTGAGGTCAGGAGTTCAAGCCCAGCCTGACCAACATGGTGAAACCATCTCCACCAAAAATACAAATTAGCCGGGCATGGTGGTTCACACCTGTAATCCCAGCTACTCGGGAGGCTGAAGCAGGAGAATCACTTGAATGTGGGAGGTGGAGGTTGCCGTAAGCTGAGAGCATGCCACTGTACTCCAGCCCAGGTGACAGAGCAAGACTTTGTCTCAAAAAAACACAAAAAAACCTGTTTAAATAAAGTTTGAACATTAACAATAAACAGTTTACAGATTATAAATAGCCTCATGTCAACTCACATTATGTTTTACTGTCTAATTTAGTGAAAATCTTTACAGGGGTTTTTGAGTTTTGGAACTGCAAATAAGAACCTGTGAACTATAATAAAACAATGAAAATTCTAAGAATGTAAAAGTGCACATATGACAGAAAGCAAAATTTCCTTCCCATCCTAGAAGTAACCAGCGTGGTTTCTTGTATATCCCATTCTAGAATAGTCTCTCTCTACATGAGACAACTCTGTATTTTGTCTTTCGCATTTAACAATGTTGTGTATCTTGCAAATTATATACCATTATCAGCATACCTTCATCTATTCACTCAATTGTATATCATTAACCATTTTAGGTTGCTTCCGTGTTACTTAAAAAATCAGAACTAAAGACCTACCTTATCACAAAATATTTGAGTCCCTATAAAATGTGCAAAGTCTAGGTATTCTAGAATATACTGAAAGACCAGTAATAATTCTAACCTAGAATGTTTCTATAGGTTAAATATAACTTTGTCTTCATACACGTTTAACAAATGGCAAAATATTTTATCTAGGGCTCAGAAAACACCACTCTGATAAATGACCCTTCTGAAAAAAGGTAACTACTTTTGGGCTTTTGCTTAATTTTCTCATTCTCCTCCTTAATAGGCATAACCTCTACTTTAAGATCCAAATAGATAAACAATGTTTAAGGTTCTAAATAATAAAACAGCTCATTTTCTTATCAATTTAAAACAGCTAATCAGAGAATTTACAAAAAAAAAAAAAAAGAAAAAAAAAAGAAAAAACAGATATGAAGGCAGAAGAGAGAAATAAAAAGCATTCTTGGATGGGCGCAGTGACGCATGCCTGTAATCCCAGCATTTTGGGAGGCTGATGCAGGTGGATCACTTGAGATCAGGAGTTTGAGACCAGCCTGACCCACATGGTGAGACCCCATCTCTACTTAAAATAGAAAAATCAGCCAAGCATGATGGCATGCACCTGTAATCCCAGCTACTTGGGAGGCTGAGACAGGAGAATCACTTGAACCCAGTAGGCGGAGGTTGCAGTGAGCCGAGATTGTACCACTCCACTATAACCTGGGTGACAGTGGCAGAGAACTTGTCTCAAACAAACAAACAAAAACCAAAACATTCTTAGAAGTGTATTTTCCCCTTCATCTCTCTCTCAACTTCAGCTACTGGTAACCTTCTCCTAATCTTACACATCCTTTCAGCAAATACGCTAACACAACATGATTCACACTCAGAAACATCACTCAGGTAGTAGAGCAAAAAAACTACATTATTGACCTGGGATACTTTTTCATTTGCTCTGTAAATAATAAATAAAGTACATACAATGCACATGACACACTGTAAGACAACAATGAAAACTACAGATGCATACTATCACTGAGCTTACCACTTATAGGCCATACACATAATTTTTATTGTCACGTATTCTAAAACACAGTGACCATTCAACTCTAAATTTTCAGTTCTAAATCAGATTCCAGAGAATTCAGTCTACCAAGTTTATAAAGACAAAGGGATCTTACAAGATCTTATTTCCAAGAGATCTTGGGGAATCAGGAGTGATAACTGGAGAGCAAAAGTTTAAAAACCCCTAAGAAACCTTGTAGTGCTTTATCACAAAACATACGAATGAAATTAAAACTTACCTTGGTATTTTCTTCTGATTTAGCTTTCTGAGTAGCAGGTGGTATTTTACCTCCCATACTTGAAGAAAATGAGAAAAAAGATATTTGTTTAGAAAATTAAAATTCACTATTAAGCAACATATTTATACCTAAAATATGTTACACATTTAACATGACTACACCTTTTCAAAATTTACAAGTAAACTCTCAATTAATCTGGATGCTGTGGTATTATAATGATTATGTATTTTCCAGCTTAAAATTGTATTTATTTTGGCTGGGCGCAGTGGCTCACACCTGTAATCCCAGTACTTTGGGAGGCCGAGGCGGGTGGATCACCAGGTTAAGAGTTCAAGACCAGCCTGACCAGCATGGTCAAACCCTGTTTCTACCAAAAACACAAAAATTAGCTGGGTGTGATGGCACACACCTGTAGTCCCAGCTACTTGGGAAGCTGAGGCAAAAGAATCACTTGAACCCAGAGGCAGAGGTTGCAGTGAGCCAAGATCACACCACCGCACTCTAGCCTGGGCAACAGAGCAAGACTCCGTGTCAAAAAAAAAAAAAAAAAAAAGGTATGTTTAGGACTGGGTAATGAACCCCTTTCTTTGCTTCAATGAGTCTAATAAACAATTAAATTGTGCCCCTTCCCAGAGGAAAAGAGGCAGATATATAACATCCAACAACAAAATCATTTGTACAACCTGTTAACTTAGAATTCAACTCAGTAGGTATATCTGAATCCAAAATTTGAAAACTGAAATTTAGTAACAGTTCAATTAAATTCAAATATGCAGTTTATGAAATAATAATGCAATCATGATGAAATAATTCAAAATGTTTGTTTCCTGTGACAGAGATCTATGAGGATTTTTCTTACTTATATTTGCGTGCCTCTCATATTACAGATTTTCTCTTTATACCCCTCTCAACCTCATCCATTAATACTTCCTCTTGGCCTTACAAACCCTTCTTTCCCAAATTGTCCAGGGCAACACAATTCATTACAAGCAAATAACTAGAAGAGGAGGAAAAAAGATACTAAGAATCAGTGTTATATGTTGCATTAGGTGTAGACCCTACACCATATGGGCTACCTGCAACAATCCAGTGACTAAAATCTTTGATAGATTTAAGAGCACTCCACAATAGTTGGAAGCAACACAGACGTTATTAAAATTTACCTTAAAAACAAACAAAATGAAATCCCAACATGGCGGGGAAGCCATTAACTTTTACGTAAAACAAGGGGATACGTTAACTTTGAAAGCAGAAAAGGGTTGGCAAGGTCCAGGCAAAGTGGCTCATGCCTGTAATAACAGCACTTTGGGAGGCCGAGGTGGGCAGATCACAAGGTCAAGAATTGAGACCATCCTCATCAACATGGTGAAATCCCGTCTCTACCAAAATACAAAAATTAAAAGATTAGCTCACATGGTGGTGCACACCTGTAGTCCCAACTACTCGGGAGGTTGAGGCAAAATTGCTTGAACCCAGGAGGCAAAGATTGCAGTGACCCAAGATTGCACCACTGCACTCCAGCCTGGCGCCTGGCAACAGAGCGAGACTTTGTCTCAAAAAAATTAAAAGTAAAAAATAAAAAGGGTTGGCCAGGCACGGTGGCTCATGCCTGTAATCCCAGCACTTTGGGAGATGGGCGGATCATGAGGTCAAGACATCAAGTCCATCCTAGCCAACATGGTGAAACCCAGCCTCTACTAAAAATACAAAAATTAGCTGGGCGTGGTGGAGCGCACCTGTAGTCCCAGCTACTTGGGAGGCTGAGAAAGGAGACCGGCTTGAACCCAAGAGGTGGAGGTTACAGTGAGCCAAGATCATGCCACTGCACTCTAGCCTGGCAACAGAACAAGACTCTGTCTCAAAAAAAAAAAAAAAAAAAAAGGAAAGAAAGAAAAAGAAAACAGAAAGAGTTGATTCTTTATAATTAGAGTTGTCATATCCACATTTACATTCATTTCAATTGGGTAGAATTCGTGATCATAAGGGTATGTGTAGGTTGAATTTAAATGGGTACCAGTTTTCCAAAGTTCTTTTAACAATTTACATTTTTATCAGCAAGGTATGAGAATTCCAATTATTCCACACCTTGGCCAACATTTAGCTATCATCCATCTTAAAGACTTTTTTTTAGCCATCCTGAAAGGTGTCTATTGGCATCTCATTGCAGTTGAGTCCCTTTTCATATAATTACTGGTCATCTGAAAAGACTTTTTCGTGAAGTTCAACTCTCATGCAGCTTTCTAAGAAATTGTCTTTATTTATTTGAAGGTGCTGTTTGTATATCTGGCATATGAACCCCTTGTCAGCTTTATGTGTTGCTAATATTTTCTACTACACCCTGTGGCTTGCCTCTTCTCTCTCCTAAAGTATCATCTGAGGATCCCAATATGAAGCAAAAGTATAAATGCAAAATAGAAATTGGAATGGAAAAGAAACAGGATTTGGAATTTCTTATAAATACCATTCAAACAAGAAGAATGTACATACTTTTTCCATTATGTTTAATATGATAGGAAAAAATCTGTTACTCAGTATCCTTAATAAGGAATAGCTCCCATGTCAAAAATAAATAAGATTATATGATTCAAAACATCCTAATTTGCAATTCAGCAAAGCAAAATGATTCAATGTCAAGAAGCAGGCATACAAATACCACAAAATTATTTTCTATAGAAAAACTACTCTGCAAAAGAGCAAGGTAATCACCAGTCCTTTGTAGTTAAAGTTTAATGAAGACACAGGGTTTCTTATACTGTGTTCTTCCCTAAGTTTCAAAACGCAGCATCAGGAATGTATTTAGGGTGATATCCAAACATAGTATAGCTTACAGTACACTAACTTTGGGAAGTGATATTCCTGCCAAGAAATGAGACAAAGCCAAATTGAGAGGAAGTCTATAAAATAACTTGCCTATAATATTCAAACTGTCAAGATTATCAAAGTCAAGCATAGACTGAAGAACTGTTTCAGAATGGAGACTAAGAGACATGACGGCTAAATGCAACACATAAATCTGAGGATAGCGTGAATGCATCAATATTAGTTTCCTGAGTTTAATACTTGTAAAGACTTTTTGTTTGTAGGAAATACACACTCAGTGGTGTCAGGGCATCATGTTGGCAGCCTACTCTCAACTAGTTCAGAAGAAAGTTTCTTTGCACCATATCTACAATTTTTCTCTGAGCTAGAAATAGTTGCTAAAAACTAAAAACAAAAACAAAACAAAACAAAGATTTACTCAAACTAGATTCAGTTTCTCACATCCCAAATTCTAGTTAACTAATGTAAGAAAATACCAACTCAAAGGTACAGAAATTTCAATTAATGCTTCCAAGACTTAGAACAAGCTGCTTTCTGGCCAAAAACTGCCAACTGGACTTTGGTACTACAGGCTTTTGTGTCACACAGTCAAGTAGGATAAGCGTAGAGACCTTGTCACATAGGATCACACAAAACTTCATAATTCTTTTAATTTGATAACCTCCTAATCTGCTTTGTGCTACGATTATTTATGCACATGTACAAAAAATTGATTTCTACACTCTAAATTCTATAAGGGTAGAAATCCATTCTGTTTATTTACAATATTTAGGAAAAGCCTCATGCCATGCACTGTGCTAGGGAGAATACAAATACTCCAGCCTGGGTAACAAGAGCGAAACTCCATCTCAAAAAAAAAAAAAAAAGAAAGACTGTTCTTAGCATTTGTGCAATTTAAAAGGTTGTTAAACTAATAAATTCTTACATTAGATAAAACTAAGCTATAAACAATGCTAGCAACACAGCAAGTAGGCAAACCTACAGTTCTTCAACAGCTAAGCCTGTGAGAAACTGAAATGTTCTCAACTTGAGTAACCCTAATAGTAGGATTAGGCCTAGGAATACGTCTGGACCTGGAAGTCTCCACATTTAGCCCAATCTGCCATAATCTCAAACTGTAGACTGATGAAGGAAAAGAGAAACACAAACTCAAAGCCCTCAGAGTTTATAAAAATGTTTTTTTTTTTTTGAGACGGAGTTTCGCTCTTGTTACCCAGGCTGGAGTGCAATGGCACGATCTTGGCTCACTGCAACCTCCGCCTCCTGGGTTCAAGCAATTCTCCTGCCTCAGCCTCCTGAGTAGCTGGGACTACAGGAGCGTGCCACCGTGCTCAGCTAATTTTTTGTATGTTTAGTAGAGACAGGGTTTCACCATGTTGACCAGGATGGTCTCGATCTCTTGACCTTGTGATCCACTCGCCTCAGGCCTCCCAAAGTGGGCAGATCACAAGGACAGGAGTTGAAGACCAGCCTGACCAAAATGGTGAAACCGTGTCTCTAGTAAAAATATAAAAATTAGCTGGGCATGGTGGCACATGCCTGTAATCCCAGCAACTTGGGAGGCTGAGGCAGGAGAACTGCTTGAACATAGGAGGCAGAGGTTGCAGTGACCCAAGATCTTGCCACTGCATTCCAGCCTGGAGATAGAGTGAGATTCCCTCTCAAAAAAAAAAAAAAAAAAAAAAAAAAAAAAAAAGAGAAAATGAGCTTCTACATTAAATATCTCAACTTAAGTTCAGAATAAAGTCCCTACATATGCTATGATACTTCCCCCCCACACACACTTTTTGTTTTGTTTTTTTGATTTAGAGTTTTGTTCTTGTTCCTCAGGGTAAAGTGCAATGATCCGAGATACTGGCTCACCACAACCTCTGCCTCCCGAGTTCAAGCAATTTTCCTGCCTCAGCCTCCCAAATAGCTGGGATTACAGGCATGCACCACCACGCCCAGCTAATTTTGCATTTTTAGTAGAGAAGGGGTTGCTCCATGTTATTCAGGCTGGTCTCAAACTCCAGACCTCAGGTGATCCACCCACCTCGGCCTCCCAAAGTGCTCGGATTACAGACCTGAGCCACTGTGCCTGGCCCGCTTCACCCCATACTTAAGCCACCTCAGGATGCCACAAGAATGTTAAGTGAAATCAGAAAAAAACTGTTACTATCTATGTTAAAATAAGTATATAACAATTTGTTTTGGGTTTTTGGTTTTTTTTTTGGAGACAATATTGCCTGACAAACAAAATATTTTGCAGACCTTAAATCAGAATTCTCTACAAAGGCATAATCACGCCAGCAGAAGTCAGGACACTGTTCTTGCACCTTTTTTTTTTTAAGACGGACTGTGGCCAGGCTGGATTGCAGTGCCATTATCTCGGCTCACTGCAACCTCCACCTCCTGGGTTCAAGTGATTCCCCTGCCTCAGCCTCCCAAGTAGCTGGCACTACAGGCGTGCACCATGACACCAGGCTAATTTGTTTTATTTTAGTAGAGAAGGGGTTTCATCATGTTGGCCAGGATGGTTTCTTATCTCCTGACCCCATGATCTGCCAGCCTCGGCCTCTCAAGTGCTGGGATTACAGGCGTGAGCCACTGCACCTGGCCAGGCATATTTTAATTGTTTCTTCTGTGCCTCCTCTTCCTCACTAGTAAGAACGAAACAAAAACATTGTATCCACTTAATCTAAAGTGAAGCCAGCTATTTCTTCCTGTGATATTTATCTACTTTACCTGGAATTTTAGGAACAATTTATTAACTGCAGGTTCTATCCTATAATAGGGATAAAAGCATACAAATATCTTTTGTTGTTGTTTTTTCTTTTTTTTTTAGAGATAGGGTTTCACCATGTTAGCCAGATGGTCTTGATCTCCTGACCTCATGATCCGCCCAACTCCGCCTCCCAAAGTGCTGGGATTACAGGCGTGAGCCACCATGCCCGACAGTTACAAATATCTTAAGAAAGGCTTTTGGATCACGTTGCTCAATAGAGAAAACGACTAAAATCTAGCCCTCAATTCCTAACCCTGACGTTTCCCGGTTGAGGAGTCTGCAAAACAGGCTTCTTAGCAATAATCATAAAGTTTATTATTAATACTATTAAATGGTCTCATAATTTCACATTTAAGTAAAAATCTTACAGTAGTTAGACAACTGGTAGGTAGATAAAGACTGAAAAACTTCTTAGAGGAATAAATATAATATATAATGTTGACAGATTTTTTTTTTTTTTTTTTTTTTTTGAGACGGAGTTTCGCTCTTGTTACCCAGGCTGGAGTGCAATGGCGTGATCTTGGCTCACCGCAACCTCCGCCTCCTGGGTTCAGGCAATTCTCCTGTCTCAGCCTCCTGAGTAGCTGGGATTACAGGCACGTGCCACCATGCCCAGCTAATTTTTTGTATCTTTAGTAGAGACGGGGTTTCACCATGTTGACCAGGATGGTCTCGATCTCTTGACCTCGTGATCCACCCGCCTCGGCCTCCCAAAGTGCTGGGATTACAGGCTTGAGCCACCGCGCCCGGCCTTATGTTGACAGATTTTTAACAAGTTTTTTCCTTAGAATCAGCTTGTTGTTAAGAAATATTCTTTGAACTGTTTGGTAATCATGAGTTCATCTTCCCCTATAAAAATAACAGGCCAAGTGAGGTGTGGCTCACACCTCTAATACCACCACTTTGGGAGGTGGGAGAGTCCCCTGGGGCCAAGAGTTCAAAACAGACCTGGGTAACTTAAGGTGACCCCCATATCTACAAAAAAAAAGAAAAAAAAAAATTAGCCCAGTATGGTGGCTCAATCCCGTACTGCTTGCCACCTGGGAGGCTGAAGCAGGAGGATTGCTTGGGTCCAGGAATCCGAGGCTTCCACTGCATGTAGCCTGGACGATACAGCCAAAGCCTGTCTCTAAAACACAAAAATCACTTTATCGATAACGTTTATAGTCGCATCTCTTAGAAGTCGCAATGGTCTGCATAGTTGCTATTTATTCCTGTGAAGTGCAATTTGTATGTCATCTTTTCAGTTCCCCATTAGTAATAAGTTTTAAAAGTCATCTTAGGAAAGACTTCTCTCTCACTTTTTCTCTCTTCAGTGCTCCTTCAACATGTAAAATGCTCATTTCTATTACATAGTAAATATCAAAACGAACTTTTAGTATTTATTCGTCTGTATCTCTAAATAGAAAGTACTTAATACTGTTTCCTAGCACCCGGCACGATGCCTAGTCAATTAACTCCTTGCACGTAGCGAAGTTCTCTAGAGTTAAAGACAAGAATATATTCTGGAAACATGCCAGGCCTTGAAAAAATAATCATCTTTCTCAAAAGTGTTTGGTGTGATACCACTGCCAAGTAACGGGGGTATAATAAATGATTCTCAAGATAATCCTACGCAGTCAGAAGCGCTGTAAGGTAGAGACAATCATTTTTACAGTTATCATTCTTATTCTTATTAATCTTATAACTTACTAGACAGTGTTACATTATTATAACACGATTTAAAGGGATAGTACGTAAAAGAACTACTATGTACCAGTGAGACCTGAGCAGGGCACACGAGACTAAAAAGAAAAACAACCCCACGCAAAAGCTAAGCCTTGCATCTCCAGTGTCCACGGATCCGCAGTCCTCTGTTTCCGTATTTCGCCCAAGATACACCTGGCAACCTCAGCGTGCGAGGAATCCGGCTCCACCTCCTGCTCCCCGTGGCTCCCGTACCACCCAAGGCTCGGGGATCCTCTACGGCCCCTCGAAGCTGCCTCCCTTTCCAGGGCAAAAAGCGAGCCACGAAGGGGCGGCCACCCGGCCTCACCTGCCTGCCTGCGCCAGCTCCAGCCCAGCTTTCCCCGGGGCCGTGTCCCCCACCCCAACAACGGTCCTGAGGCCCGGGTCTCACCTCTCCACCCACTCCCTCAGGAAGCGCATTTCCTCTGTGTGCAGAACGCTCGGATCCTGCTTACACATCTTCACAAAGGCCCGAAGCTCGTTCACTTTGCGGGGGTCCATGGTCGGGAGGCGGTGGGCAAAGCTATGGGTCTGCGGCCCGCTTCCAGGCCGAGGCGCTGGCTCGGCGTGACCGCGCAGAAGGGGGCGTCTGCCGCGAGGCAGAACAGACTAGAACCTCCCCGACCGCTGGCTCCTCCCACCCAACGGTCTCGTGACCCCGGGTCCTCCGCTTGCCCCTTCCTGCTCGCTCTGCGCCGCTCCTGCGCGCTCCCTAGAACATTCTAGAAGCGTGGCTGTTCGTGCTGTTGCCTGCCTCTCTGCGTACACATTCTCAAATTCTTAACTAGGAACCAGCTCCCTGGAGGGGGCAACCCTCGACATGGGCGCCTTCAAAGAGGCGAGAGATAGCAGCCCTTCCAGGCACCGAGTTCCAAGAGCACAATCTGTTGCCGCCTGCACTGAGCAGAGTTTAACCCCCGGACCTAAAAAGGGACGTGAGGCCGAAGGGGCGGTCCCAGCCCGGGGCATGACGTCACATTCTGCGCCGCCGCTTAAAGAAGGCCCTCGAGCGGCGCCCGCCGGAAGGGGAGGGGCGGCTGGCCCGGTTTCCTGGCGACGCGGCGCAACAGGCGGCTCCTTTCCCGGCCGTTGGCCTCTCGTCTTCCCGGCGCGCGAGCTAGGCCGTCATGCCTTGGCTGCTCTCGGCCCCCAAGCTGGTTCCCGCTATAGCAAACGCCCGCGGCATCTCAGGTTAGACTCTCCTCCAGGTCTCCTCCCATGGTGTCCCTTGGAGGGACCCACGTTGGTCACAGGCGATCCCTGGTTCGGCCGGCCCTTCTCCTGGTGGGGCCTCCGTTCCCCAACCCCTCTGTACCCTCTGCGGATTTCTTCTGTATCGGCTGCGCCTAGAAAGGGGTAGGCCCAATGTGTTCTCTACCGTTGAGGTATTCTGTGAAGCCGAAATGACTACAAAGAAAAAAAGTGTGTGCCATTCCCCAGAGAGGCTGTCTTCCAAGTTACTCGGACTCCGAAGTCGTGACAGCTATCACACTTAAGTGACATAGTGTCTCACATCAAGTAGCTCTTGTTTCTCTTAGGTCAACTTAAAATTCTCTTGTGTTTTCAAATAGTTGATATGAGAGTTTGCTCCAGAATATACAGGAAGCTTGTTTAATAACAAATTCTTTTTAAGCACCTCCTCTTAGAAAAGGTCCTGTTTGGAAATACTGGGCTTGAAAGTCCTCTTTGTAAAGACAAGATGAAGGAATAAAGAGAGTAATTTTTGTAGGCCGTCCTATTGCGAGCATTTAATCTGATGAACATAAAGCTTAAATCGGTGAAAACTATCACTTACCTTGCAGGCGGATCTGCCATTGGATCGTATTGAGTTTTTTGGGGCAATATATGAACAGTGTATAAACCAGAACACGTGATATTTGGCATCAAAGCTATGTTTTGGCGTATGTTTATGTTGATATACTTGAATTCATTTAAAATGGAATGTTAATTGTATCGACTTTTTACTATAAAAAATAAAAAGTTATCGACCAAGTTCACGGAACTTCTTCAGTTCTAATAGTAAAGCTGCAGAAAGATGTAACTCTCGATGGAATTAAGGGAATTTTTTTTTTTTTTTTTTTTTTTTTTTTTTTGAGACAAGTTCTCATTCTGTCGCTCAGACTGGAGTGTAGTGGCAATCTCTGGTCATTTGCAACCTCTGCCTCCTGGGTTCAAGCAATTCTGGTGCCTCAGCTTGCCGAGATAGCTGTGATTATAAGCATGTGCCACCACACCTGGCTAATTTTTGTAAGTGTAGTAGAGACCTGGTTTCACCATGTTGGCCAGGCTGATCTTGAATTCCTTCCTGGCCTCAAGCAACCCACCCTCTTTGGTGAGCCACCGCCTGGAATTTGCTTTTATGTGCAAGGCCCTCACAAACTCCTTGCCTCAAGTGATCCACCCTGCTTGGTGAACCACCGCGCCGACCTGGAATTTGCTTTTATTTGAAAGGCTCTCACCAGCCCGACTAAAGGAGCGATACTACCAGAAGGAATACTTGCAAAGGCACAGAGCTCTGAAACGGAATGGCCAGTACTAAGCATTGCAATCATTTAGTATGGCCAGAGAAGCTTTTTTTATTATTATTATTATTATTATTATTATTTTGGAAACAGAGTCTCTCTCTTGTCGCCCAGGCAGGAGTGCAACAGCGCGATCTTGGCTCACTGCAACATCCACCTCCCGAGTTCAAGGAATTCTCCTCACTCAGCCTCCCGAGTAGCTGGGATTACAGGTGCCCGCCACCACGCCCAGCTAATATTTGTATTTTTAGTACGCCTGGCTAATATTTATATTTTTAGTAGAGACGGGATTTCACCATGTTGGCCACTGGTCTTAAACTCCTGACCTCAGGTGATCTGCCGGCCTCAGCCTCTCAAAGTGCTGGGATTACAGGCGTGAGCCACTGCACCCGGCCTGGGAGAAGCTTTTTTGAAATATGTTCTCAGGCCGAGCGCGGTGGCTCACGTCTGTAATCCCAGCACTTTGGGAGGCCGAGGTGGGTGGATCACGAGGTCAAGAGATAGAGACCATCCTGATCAACAATGTGAAATCCCGTCTCTACTGAAAAACAAAAATTAGCTGGGCATGGTGGCGCACGCCTGTAGTCCCAGCTACTCAGAAGGCTAAGGGAGGAGAATTGCCTGAACCCAGGAGGCGGAGGTTGCAGTGAGCCGAGATCGCGCCATTGCACTCCAGCCTGGGTAACGAGCAAAACTTCGTGTCAAAAAAAAAAAGAAAGAAATATGTTCTCAAACAAAATAGTAGGCATTACACCGAAATGATTCTGTGATCAAATACATTTGGAGAATGCTGCATTGCTGCATTTCATAATGTAAGTGATAGTTTATTTTTTTTTTTATTTTTTTATATTTTGGTGTGGTCCCGCCATGTTGCCCAGGGTAAACTTGAACTGGTAGGATCAAGTGATCCTCTCAATTCAGCTTCTCAAAGTGTTGGGATTATAAATGTGAGCCACTGCACCCAGCCCATAATAGTCTAAGTTTCTGAGATTGAGATGTGTTCAGCAGTAATTTGTAAAATGTGTTTGACCATGGACCCTTTTTCTGTGATGAGTCTTGAACTGGTATCCCTGGAACACATTTTGGAAAAAGTTGGGCTAGAGCATAAGATGGGTACAGGGAGCTGGTAGGAAATCAAGTTGGGGGGAAAAAGCTAGCGACTGTCTCGTGTAAGGCCTTGTATATTAAGAAACAATTAGCTTTTTCCTTTAGATGGTGGGAAACCTTTGAGGAATATTAAGCTATTGAGTAAAATGTTTAAATTTTGGCTTTTCTGTTAAGAATGAAGAAATGGGGCCGGGCGCGGTGGCTCAAGCCTGTAATCCCAGCACTTTGGGAGGCCGAGGCGGGTGGATCACAAGGTCAAGAGATCGAGACCATCCTGGTCAATATGGTGAAACCCCGTCTCTACTAAAAATACAAAAAAGTAGCTGGGCATGGTGGCACGTGCCTGTAATCCAAGCTACTCAGGAGGCTGAGGCAGGAGAATTGCCTGAACCCAGGAGGCGGAGGTTGCAGTGAGCCGAGATCGTGCCATTGCACTCCAGCCTGGGTAACAAGAGCGAAACTCTGTCTCAAAAAAAAAAAAAAAAAAAAAAAAAAAAAAAAAAAAAAAAAGAATGAAGAAATGGACTACAGGGCATGTCATTACACTCTTAAATTTTCTGACACTAGTTTTTGCTTTTGTTTTTGGAAAATAGCAAATTTTCCATGATAACAGATGAACTCTATTAATTATCACATCTTATATAAGAAGCATTTAAAATATCCTGGGCTTTTATTATTTTATTTTGTGAAAATAAACTTTAAATACTAATTGTCCGCAGTCTCTTCTGTAGAATAAATGACGTTTCCTCCTCCCGTCTGATCTGCCAACTGAAAATCCAACACCGATACAAAATATGAGCTCTTAAATATGGCTGTCATTTAAAAATAACAGATAATACAATTTTTTTTTTTTTCCAATTTTGTGTTTGTATTTGGCCAAAGGTGATTGAGTTTCGGTGCTGCTAGACATGTAACTCAAACCATTTGCTGAATATCTGATATATTTGTAACCCATCTGTTTTTCTCCCAATGTGACTAAGTTAATATAGTTATAGGTGATATTTTAGAGTAATGTATTTGTAGATTCTGCGTGCAAACTCTGAACAAAAATAGGAAGTTTCCTATGTGGAGTCATTCACTGATGTGTTCAGCAGTAATTTGTAAAATGTGTTTGACCATGATGGCCTACCTACAGACTGCTCTGAGGAATTCAGGGTAAGAATGGCTTTTTTTTTTTTTTTTTTAATTTGAGCTGGGCATTGTGGCTCACACCTGTAATCCCAGCCTTTTGGGAGGTGATCACCTGAGGTCAGGAGTTTGAGACCAGCCTGACCAACATAGAGAAACCCTGTCTCTACTAAAAACACAAAATTAGCCAGGCGTGGTGGTGCATGCCTGTAGTCTCAGCTACTCGGGAGGCTGAGGCAGGAGAATTGCTTGAACCTGGGAGGCAGAAGTTGCAGTGAGCCAAGATCGCACCATTGCATTCCAGCCTGGACAACAAGAGCAAAACTCCATCTCAAAAAAAAAAAAAAAAAAAAAAAGTGATGAAATATACTACATAAAATTTACCATGTTGCCCATTTTTTAAGATTTTTAATTTTTTATTGTTTTTCTTTAAAGACAGCGTCACATGCTTGATAGCTGGAGTGCAATGGCAAGATCATAACTCCCTGTAACCTCAAACTCCTGGCCTCAGGCAGTCCTCCCACCTCACCCTCCTGAGTAGCTAGGACTATAGGCATGTACCACCACACCCAGCTAAATTTAAAAAAAAAAAAAAAAAAAATTTCATTGGGGCCAGGTCTTACATTACCAAACTATCATGGAATTCTGGCCTCAAGCAACCCTCCTGCCTGGGCCTCCCAAGGTGCTTGGATTACAGGTGTGAGCCCCTATACCCAGCCAAGTCTGTTGCCCATTTTTATGGTTATTTCTTGATTATGTCCTCAGCAATAAGTGGATTATTCATGCTGCCCATTTTAGACCGTACAGGGTAACTTCCTGACATTGGCATGGCATCTGTAAACTGTTAGGGCGCTGGTGGGAGTGTAGCAGTAACAACCAGAGGTTACTCTTGTTGCCATCTTAGTATTGGTGGGTTTCTGCCTACTTCTTTACTACATCCTGTTAGCAAGTTTTTATGACCTGTATTTTGTATCAATCTCCTATTTCACTCTGTGATTAAGACTACCTTAACTTACTGGGAATGTAGACCAGCCAGTCTTGGCCTTATGTTACCAAACGCCTACCAAGGATAGAGTTGCTGTGGTTCAAATGCCTCTGACACTATGATACAGAGAGAAGCTAGAAAATAGGACATTCTCCTCTTAAGAAATTAATATAGTTTGAGAAAACTAATTTCAGTGGAGTGTAAAGTTGTAACATAAGCACTTGTTT